TACGCGGCTGGGCCTATTAACCGTGGGCTTAATAACTGGCGACTACTGTAGTGGCTTGTGATGTGACTGTCTTGGCTAGTACTGTGAGAATACACTTCTCTCCCTGCCGGATTGACTTCTCTTGCTCTCTCGTGCTGGCGCTCAGGACAACAGCTGAGTTAACTCAGTCTTCGTCCTAATTACATGTACCGGGTGCAGGTCGTAACAGTTGTGCTGACGTAGATCGGTCTGAGGTAGCTTAAAGATAGTGAGCGTGCTAAGATGAATATGTTGTGGTGGACAAAGCGCTTGTCGGACACGCGTCAAGCCTGCAGTTTGTTTTGCTAAAACAGCATTGATAATGCACGCACTTACTGAATATAGGATGAATGCGGTAGAATCGTATCCGGAGCTGGTGGGTAGGGCAGTCATAATGAAGAGACTCTGACCAGCAGCTCCGAGGCCGGACGTATTTGAGAGCATTAGTTTCCAGAAGCGCAAGACATCGTAGGTTATGGCACTTGAGGGGTCGAGCTGAATAATGGCGGTACGGCCCTCCCGAATTGGTGCCATATTTGTGACCGAAGAGAGGAAGAAAATGGCGATAGGCGGTCTGGCTAACAGTAAAATGGCTAGAAGAAGGAAGAATGGAGAAGATGTTTTTTTGTGTTTCAAGGAAAGACATTTTTTGGGAAATTGGGTAACTTTATTCAATCAATTTTTGACACTGCCTCCCCAGGTCATCGTCAGACTTGAGACGATATGCAACAAACAACTAAAATGTGTATAAAAGAATATTTCTGTGTGTTCAAAGGTGTAAAATGAACCTTAAGGATCTCTCCTAAGCACGCAAACCCTACATACTGCCGTGATTGACGGCATCATTTTGTTTCCAACGTTTTCCCTTCCTGAAGTGAACAAAGTGTTATATTTCCTCGAAAGGAGACTTAACACATACACAAAGAGCGGAATATTGCTTCTTTAGGCTAAGATCACTCGAATTCTTCTCAGTCCTGAAGTGAAAATATTATCTTCAACCGGAGAATTTACTGATAGGGAAACTTGGCAACAAACATGTAAATCTGAGTGGAAGATATCCGTGCTTAGGACAATTGACATTTACATTGATACTATATTTCGGTGCTGGATGATATTCAGTTTAAATAGAGTTGAGAGCGTGCCAATTTAATGATAGTATGCGGATTTAAAATATTAGTAACTAGAGCCTTCCCACCCCTCAAATGCTTAACATTCACAAGCAACCTCTATTTTTCGTGTTGCTTCAACTACCTTAATCGAGACACCCTAACCTCAGGTTAGATATTTTAATGGAAGACTAAAAGTTAATGCACATTTAAAAGCTTTTTAGCGTGTTTCGAACTGCCTTCGTCTTACCTATTTGCTGTTGTCATTAAAATAGGAAGAGAGGGGGGAGGGAGGTGTTAGCGACCTGTCCGGAAGCTGCCAGTTTAAAATCTGGCTGACGCCCTAAAGTGGGGCATTAAAGTATGGTTTAGAAAAAAAAGCATGACGTAAAAAGCAGTGCACTAAAATGCACTTTTATTTTAGTGTGGGTTTTGGGGAATAAAAAATCCCTCCCTGCTCCAAAGAGGTAATAAAACAGTAGAAGATACTGTGCATAATTTTGGACTAGGTGCGATCGTTACTTGACTGTATTTAAGTAGCACTTTTCGGTTTGAATGTTCTTCTTGATTAATTGAACTGGTAAAATAATGAA